ATTTAATGGAAGGGAGGGGAGGGGAGGGGAAGAGAGGGAAAATAATTTATCTTGTTTGGATGGATTTTGTAGGAGGGGGGTGAAGGAAAATGATTAACCTTGTTTGGTTAGAAGATGGAAGGGGACGGAAAATAATGTTAGAATGACAAATATATCTTTAATGATGTAAGAAACAAAAAAAATAAAATAATTTACAATAAGGTCAAAAGAGTAATTTATTGTTAAAATTTTCCCTCCCCTCCAAATTCCCTCACTTTTGGAGGGGAGCATATTTTCCCTTGGAGGAGGGAATTGAAGGGAAAATTCAAACCCCTCCCCCTTACAAAAAGTTGAACCAAACAAGGGAAAATAAAATTTTCCCTCCCCTCCCTTCCCCTCCCCTCCGTTTCCCCGAACCAAACATAACCTAAAGTATTAAGACTACCCTAGTCTCTCATCCTGCCCCTTTCTTATCTTGATTAGACAAAATGTCATTAAAATCACTTGCCGGAAACCACAACCTACCCTACATTAACCTATCTACTCACGATAATTCATTGGAATATCCTTGCACTAACATCATTGATGGCATACAAGAAAACTCCCAATGACCATCCAGACTCTCCACACAGACAAACTTCAATTGAAAACAAAAATCCAGGCACACCACATCCAAGACCGAACATTCACATACTAGTACTAGCTCAAAAGTATTCCCCCTTTATCTCCAACTGGGTCTATGTATAACCACCTTTTTTCAAACTTCTAAGTTTTTACAAACACAATTTTATTTTATTTTTTCTTTAACTTCAGACAGAATAATAAAATTGACATTTAATATGATAAAGTTGTCCACACCTTTGGTCAAGAGAGTGAAAATGTAGATTTTATTTACAATCAAAACTACTTGATAAAACATGGAAAATGGCGAGACAAACACGATAGATATGCTAAATCCCATGAAATAATTAAAAAGAGCTGCTTGTTACTTATGCCCATACCGTATGGTCAATGTTTTTGTTGAACCAAAAAAGATGCTCCATTAAAGTATTCAACTATTGGGTGTTCAATGTTACTCCAAACTAGGACTGCAAACGAGACGAGCGGCTCATCAAAACTCGACTCAAGTTCAAGTTTGACCGAACTCGAGTCGAGCTCGAGAGACTCGAGCTCGAACCTATGTTTTCCATTATCGAGCGGCTCGTCAAAGCTCGACTCGAGCTCAAGTTTGAACGAACTCGAGTTAAAATCGAGAGATTCGAGCTCGAGCCCATGTTTTCCATTATCGAGCAACTCGTCCAACAGCTCAAAATATATATTAAATTACTAAAATACCCTTTATATAGATACTTAAATAGTATAATACAAATGTTTAACGATAATTGCACTTAAAAATTTTCAAACCAAGCTCGAGGATTTGATTTCGAGCCAAGTTCGAGCTATTGTATTTTCTTATCGAGTCGAGCTCGAGCCTCATAAATCGAGTTCGATGAGCTCGAGCTCGAGCAGCTAAAAAAAAAGTCAATCTTATTTGATCAAATGCTCGCCTCGACTCGGTTCATTTGCAGCTCTACTCCAAACAAACCAAATGGCCAGGGCACAAAGAGGTAACTAGGCCCCCATTCATCAATAAAATTCCAAACCAAAACCAGGAAGGCAAACATATCAACATGTCCACTTCAAATCCGAATCTAATATTCCTTTTAGCAGACAAGATATTGACATCATAAGCCCCGTATCAGAATAAAATCATTCTCACATCCCTCATAATTTCAAAATAAAATCATCATGACATTTAAATTTCTAAAAAATTGCTATAATGTATATTAGATTATCCTTAATGAACTTTACATCCACATTCTTCTCTTCTCTCTAGAGACTTGGAGTTGGTGAGGATGTGGTTGGAACAAAACCAATATGGCTGAAAATAAAAATAATAAAAAATGAAAGAGAAAAAAAAAAATAGAACCTTTTGATGGATAACAAGAAACCAACCCAGCTACTCGGCTCGTCCAGAGGGAGGAAAAGGTAATGAAAAAGTCGTAATTTCTTAAAACGATATCATTGGTCATTGCGAATTTGGAAGGGCCCGGTGGGAGAATCGGGAGGTGTAGACGAACGAGGACTAGATGGTACTGAAGAAAACGAGCTGGCCGAAGATAATGATGATGTGGACAGTGGAGATGGGCTCGGAGATAAATCGACTAGGGATGAAATGGGCTGTGGAGATTGCTCGGGTAAAACACAATTATTATTTTCTTGCGACTTCCTCTTATTGTTAAGTCCTTTTATGGATTGGTTTCGGCCTTCACCAAACATGCAGCCCTTCAAGCGCTCAACATCGGCTAATTTCACGGGCTTCACTATAAAATCCTCAGCACCTTCCTCCAAACATCTGAGATTGTAAATTATGAATGGTGAACAAAATAGATCGATGGATGAAACAAAACTGTTTTCTTAGTCGGGAATAAGTTCTTTCGAGAATGGTAAGAAGGATATACAATCAAATTGATTTTATATTCAAAATTAATTTGCTATAAATAGATACAAGTTTTTCTTTTCAGATTCAAACTAGAGCTGCTTAAGAGGGAAAACCGAAAATTAAACAATGTAAAAAGCAGGCACTAATAGCAAAGGCATTTTTCATAAGTTTATGGACCATCTACCTCTACTTTCTTTCGCATAATTTGCCAAAAGGGATCTAATGCTATCTTTCGTAAGTGACACCCCGATTTATCTTCTGGACTAAACATAATAATTCGACATAGATTTGATAATATGGCCGACAAAATTAAGTTAACTTCTTCCACAAAAAGCTTAGATATAAGTGCAATGGATTCTATTCATTGGATAAGCAAGTTGTATTGAACTATGATGAAGAGTGTAGAATGCAAGTAGACTTCATTAATTCACAAAATCATCTTAACTACAAGAAAAGTTCACAAAGCACATAGTGGTGTAAAAACTACGAATAAATTGTGTCGCTTTGACAATTTACACAAATCAAAAGAGTCGAGTATTTGCCAAGTTTATATACAAATTACACTAATCCTCTACAGTGGTGTAATTTCAGAAGCAATTTTTGCAGTAATCCGTTGGGTGAAATTTATGATCAACTGAACTGATAATCGATCAAATTTACTATATTTTCTTGCAAACACTAAACAGCATTGTGTATGTTTTCAGTTCGAATTAACAAACTATAAGAGCAAAGGCAATCGATCACCAATCTATAGGACTACAACAATAAAATACTCAAAGATCAATGTAAACAGAACTTGTAAATTACCTGTCAATCCTAGCAAGAATGTTTTCAGATGACATGATCACAACAGGCACTTCTCTGAAAGTAGATGAGCCCTGTCATAAACACAATGCAATTTTGTAATCTTGCAACATTGAAAATGAATCATTCACAGGTACAAAGGTGAAATCTGTGGTGAATTCACCTTGATCTTTTTCAGTAACTCATATCCTGTCATCCCAGGCATGCAATAGTCTGTAATTATCAGATCCACCTTTGAACTCTGCATATATTAATATACCAAACAATTAATCCATCAAATAATATTATTCTAACACACACACACACACATGGAGACATTTACTCATGTATATATTTTGAAGGGAAAATGCTACAGTTCCGTTACGGAACCATTTCGTCGGGAATTGTAACCGTTACATCATCATATAACAGTCATGGATAGTTGATCTAACGGTTACAAACCCCGACGGAATGGTTCCGTAACGGGACCATATAATCTCCCATTTTTCAAGACTCACATCAAAACCAACAGACTTTTCCTCTTCATTCAATCCCAAGAACTGCAAAGCCCTTATCCCACTATCCACCGCTGTCACTGCAAAAATACCCCAGCAAATGTCAACATTTCATAGTGCTATAGAACTTGAGAAATCAGTCTATTGATTCTTAAAAAAAAAAAAAATCAAGAATTGATTTTTTACCCTTGCAAGAAGTGATTTTAAGCAACCCCTCGATCACTTTTCTGTCAACAAGACTATCATCGACAGCAAGAACATGAACTTCATGTGAAGAATCACTGTAAGCTGAAAACTCATCCAACCCTTCATCACTCTCCAATCTATTCAGACGACTAGGAAAAATCTCATTCTTCGCCATTTTTAATCGAAAGCCCACAAAAAAATAAAGAATAAAAAAGATCAAAAATTGAGGCTCAAATGCTCACCCATAAGAGGAACAAGGAAATTAGACGAGAAAATGTGTTTGCGAGTGGAGAATGCAGAGATATGAGTGTGTGTGTGTGTGTGGACAATCTGTCTCTATCAAAATATATATGGTGGTACCACCACCACACGTCTTTTTTCCTTCCACTCGGGTGTGTTATTTAAAAAAAAAAACCATATATCTGCAGATATCAAACACTTTTGGAGGTGATATGATTTTCCGTATCCCCAAAGAGATTTTGAAGGTCTTTGACTGTAATTTTATTGGAAGACGAGTTTGGGTAAAGGGAGGTAAATTTGGTAGATAATCGGCTCATGAACAGGAAATTGACTGTAATTTTATTAGGAACTGTGATGGTATTTTTCTTGGTGGATTTGTAATGAATATTGGTTTCACTACCATCATGGGAGCGGAGCTATGAGGACTGTTCCAGGGCCTTCAACTGGCTTGGGATCTTGGTTATCGGCAAGTGATGGCTAATGTCGACAACAAGAGTGTGGTGGATTTGATTTTGGGTCAGGATACCTCGCTGGCAGTGCATGGTAGTCTTGTACGGGCTATCCGGAATATGATGGGATGGAGTTGGAGACTAGAGCTGCGACATGTTTTTCGAGAATCTAATTTCTCGGCGGATTTTTTAGCTTCTTTGGCCGCAATTTCTCTAGGAGGCCTGCAACGCTTCGAAGTTCCACCGGTTGGTTTACGACCTTGGTTAGAACATGATATGATTGGTGTAGCCTACCCTCGTCGAGTAGGAACGTAGTTTCCGCCGATTCTTCCCTTTTTGTACCAAAAAAAAAGGGAGGTAAATTTTTCGTGTGGGTAGATAATCGGCTCATGAAGAGGAAATACTAGTATCGAGTAAATAAAATATTATGAGTCATTTGTATTCAATCTTTTTCTCTAAGCAACACGAACACAATATCGATTTTTACATAAGCAAACAAAGATATACGAAGTAATGATGCTTAAGACTAAGTACTCACTCTTACACGCACTTGGAAGGAGAAACAGAGTCAAAAGCTCAAAACTTTACTCGAAACAATGTCGCCGAAAATTCGCCGGAAAACTTGATTCATATGCTCCAAACCAAAATATAAAAAAGGAAAAAAGAAAATAGAGAGGATTTTCCCAACTTAAAGTATTATGAGTCATTTGTATGCTTATAATGATTAATTATTTTTATATTTACATTTTTGCTGGCCAAATTTACAATTAAAATGAGTTGAATTTTTTTTTTAAATTGCTTTTATCTGATTGGATGTAATGTAGATTTTGGTATGTCTTTTTTTTGTGAATTATTTATTATATATATAGGAATTTCAAATACATTTTTTATTTAAAAATAATAATTTAAATGTAACCACTAATAACATCTAATCACATTATAAGATCAACACATTGTATGGTCAACTGTCAGTAATCAAAAGTTTAAAAAGATTTTTGTAATTTTGAAGTGATTAGTGTTGATTATTTAATAATTAAATAAAATATTAAATACATCAAAAGTAACAGTTTTTAGAGAGAAAAATGTTAAATTGCCACATAAGTAAAATTAAATATGTTTTATTAAATGCTATTAGCTAGTAATTATCGGTGGAAAGTTCATAAAAAATAAAGACAACTTATTTGACTTACTACTTATGACAATTATTTAAAAAATTCGATTGGTTAGATTTGATTAGATTTTTTAATTTTATTTTTGGTTAATAAGTATGCAAAATCATTCCATATTTTGCGCAAAATTTTTGGTTAATATTTTTGGTTTGTGATAATATTATTCGAAAAATTTAATATACATCTTATCCTAAACTTATACCAACATTTTTTATTGTATGGAATATAAAACATGTTCACGTGAATTTGAAAGAGATTCAATATCACATAACTCTATTTATCCATTTTTTTGAGGTAATTTAATTTAAACAAACCAATGGGTCTGCAGACATCGAAATTTTAATATTTTATTAATTAATGTCTTTATTTATTTTAGGACATAAATCCATGATAAGTAAGATATATAATTAATAATAAAGTTATTGTTTCTTGACCACCAAATCAAATCTTAGGATTAGGAAATTGATTATATCATATTATGGGATAAGAAAAGAGATTATATCAAATCAAGAAGGACCAATCAAATTGATGTTTTCTTCTTCAAGACTCTCTCTCCTACACCTATATATAAGGCTCTCCCAATGCCACAAATCACACATAAAAAAAATATCAAACACATTCCAAAAATAAAAGTCTCAAATTCAAGAGCTCTCAATGAAGAAGAAGACTAAGCAGAAAAAAAAGAGGCGGCGACTCTTCTCCAAGAACTAAAGAGACGACTTCAACTCCTATCAAATCAATCCAAGAATATCAACGACGTTCGAGCGACATTCAAGCCGCGTCGTTGAGAAGTTCAACAACATAACGTTTGATCCGGAAAAAAGTTATCAAGCCCTCGAGTCAACGTTATTCAAGTCAAAATCCATCTTTCAAGAAGATCAAAAATCAAGTCCTCCCAAGAAGTTTTCTTCAATCAAGTCAAGACCTAAGATTTAATACGGGAATAGGTCATTCGACCCCCAAATCAATGTTAGTGAAATTCAATCTCAAGCATGAAGGAGATTCAATCATCAAATCCATGAAGAGAAGAATCAGAGTGGATAAATAGAGATTGAACATGTATATCGTTTGATCGAAATAAAATCAAGTTGTACAAAAGTTTTATGTTTTTCATAAAATTTGTTGTTACAAGGACTACATATTTTATAACACGCAGTTATTGAATTTTATATATTGGATAACTAAAAGTGTTGAATAATTTAATACAATTGAATAATTATCGCACATTATAAAATATTTAAAGTGTGGAATACTAAATTTATGCCGATTTGTCATTAGTCCAATTTTCTTATTTTAATTTAAAGTGGGAAATAAATAACTTCCATATTTCATGCATTAATATCTATTAAGGTTTTTTTTATTAAGATAATTGAAATCTTTGTTAGAAAAAATTCAATCCCATATTTTTCAGAATTTAGATTTTACCCTTATCCAAGAGATTCCAATTATTTTCCAAAAAACAGTTAATGCGTTTTAATTATGGTTGATATTTTTATTTGCATAAAATTATGTACGTATTATTTTAAAAATGAAATCCACGTGTATCAAAAATTTAAAATTTGGATTCTACGAGATTTTCTCATTCGCTTTCAAAAAAAGTAGGGTTTAAATTAATCGAAAAAAAAAAAACATGTTCATAATTTGTTTTCCCGAAACTATTGCTTATAAAAAAATTACGCAAATTAAAAATTATTAACAATTGTGTAATTGATTTGAAATCTAATTTATTTATTTTTTAAAAAAAATGTTCGTAATTATTTTTTCCAAAACAATTGCTTATGAAATATTATCCAAATTAATAATTACTAACAATTATGTAATAGATTTGAAATCTAATTTTTTTAACACAAATATTCAGAAATTTTTGATTCACATATTATTTGACCAATTAAAAATCTACTATTCAAATTTACATACAAATAAATAACACACATATTTATTTAAATAATCATATGAACGATTGATAAATATAAATTTAAATCAATCAAATTAAATTTTACCTAATTTATTGCCTAAAAACATCTAAATAAATAAATCACCTATCAAAGAATTTCAATTTTACATGCCACCAGACTTTAGTTAATCAGATAATAAAAAATGTAATATATTAATATCATTTTCTTAGGGAACATTCACCTATAACAAAAAACAATATTATTTTTAAAAATTATTTTATATTCCAATTGTAATATCGGATTTAATTATATCTACAAAAAAAAAAATAAAAAAAAATTGCAATGTTGTCACATAATTTTAAAGAAAATCATTAAAAAGAATTGTCAAACGAATCGAATATATCTCATTTTATGTTAGCAAAAATCCAAGAACAAAGAAATATATATCTCATTTGAAAGATTCACAATTATCTTATCTCAAAATAAATCGAAGAGATAACAAATATTACAACATCTACATAAGTAGTCAATTACACAAATCATCAACCACACCTCTCTAGTATTTTTTTTCAATCTCTAAAATGGACTTAATTAATTGAAGCATTGGAGCTAATTTGGGCTGGATATATTTGGTTACCAAATTTTAATATATTTAGGATGATTTTAATGAGCCCATTTAGTTACAAAAATGGGTCGGATCATTAATGTAAATGACCAACATTATTTTTTTTTGCAATAATATTTGGGTTGTATTATTTGTATTATTCGGCTGATTTTTTGGAACAATTATGTATTTGTTTATTTGGTCCGATATTTTATTTAATTGTGTTGCTTTACATATATATGTTGCATAATATGATATCCATTATATGAATTTTATGTTTTTAATACTGTAAAATCAAATGGGTAGTTTTTTTATACAAGTTATATTTTTATTCTTAATTAGTATTTGTTTAATTAATATGTGATAAAAATGTTGTTAGTTTTTTTGTTTTTATTAACATTGTTATTACCTATGTATTTTTTTTTTCACATATTGTTTTTCTAAATTTATTCGAAATAATCTTGCAATACTGTTATTTGGGTCTTATTTATATAGGTACAATGGATTCCGATTTTCGTACTGGATCAACTGTTAGTAAACGACAAATGACAATTAGATAGAGCAGTTCATCAAATGCCCCTCACTAATATTAGTCTGTGGTGACAATGACTCACCACCAAATCAAATCAAAAAAATTGTGTACAAGAAAGTATTTAATAATTTATGAATTTTTTAATTTGTCTGAGCCGTTTACATTTGTTACATGTATACCATGTCCATTAAATTTAATATTCAAGAAATGCACCAAAACCAAAGCAGGCCACCCCGGAGAGGAATAAATGAATTCCAAAGATCTTGGGCAAATCCAAAAAAGGTTT